TATTTTTAGAATTTTACTCATTTTTAAATATGGAGTGGACGCTTAAAGAAGACCGTGTTGCAGTTATTGCGTTGCATCGTTGCGGTTACGCGCCAATTCAAATTCTTGACATACTGAAAATTTTGAATATAACCAAAAGATTCGTTTATCGTACCATCAAACGATACAATGAAGACTCTAGTGTAGATGACAGGTCAAGAAGTGATCGTCCTCGGTCTGTTAGGACTCCAGCAGTGATAAGATCTGTGAAGGCGCGAATTCAAAGAAATCCCAAACGTAAGCAGAAACTGTTGGCCCTTCAGAAGGGGTTAAGCAGAACCACGGTGAAAAGGGTGTTAAATGAAGACTAGAGGGCTTCGGGCATATCGAAGAAAAACAGGACATCGTTTGAATGCTCGTCTAATGGACCTGAGACTGAAGAGATGCCGCGCTTTGTTGAAGCGGTATGCGGGAAAAAAATATCGGGAAATTCTTTTTTCGGATGAAAAAAATTTTACCGTAGAAGAGAGCTACAACAAACAAAATGATAAGGTGTACGCATACAGTAGTGAAGAAGCGACCAACCGTATTCCGCGTGTCCAACGAGGTCATTTTCCATCCTCGCTCATGGTATGGTTGGGAGTTTCTTATTGGGGCTTAACAGAGATACATTTTTGTGAGAAAGGTGTAAAAAACGAAAGCAGTTGTGTATCAAAAATACAGTCCTTACGAACCTTGTGGAACCTGTTTCTCATACCATGTTCAATAACAGGCACTGAGTATTCCAACAAGATTCGGCGCCAGCTCATAGAGCCAAGAGCACACAAGACTGAGAAAAAATCTGAGAGAAATCGACTTCATCCGGCACGAAGACTGGCCCTCCTCCAGTCCAGATTTGAGTCCGTTAGATTACAAGATATGGCAACACTTGGAGGAAAAAGGCGTGCTCAAAGCCTCATCCCAATTTGGAGTCACTCATGACGTCCTTGATTAAGGCAGCCGCCGATATTTACAATGACCTCGTTCGTGCTGCGATAGACGACTGGCCGCGCAGATTGAAGGCCCGTATTCAAAAATCACGGAGGTCATTTTGAATAAACTTTATTGTCATAAGAATCTATGTTTTTGTTAAGTTCATTTTGGTATATAAATGGTTACATAATGAATAAACTTGTTTCAATTATTTTATATTAAACATGTGACAGAATTTATGACCTGACTAGGTATAAGTAAAATTCAACATATGTTCACTCAGCGCATGGATGCATATCAGGGTGAATTGCAGGCAGCTGCCCCATCAGCTAACATCAACAGCTTGAAGGATGATTTCGTGGCTTTCCGTTCATTTTGTAATGACTGGACTTCATAGCCTGCAGCAGCAGCTCAACTTGTTTGCATGTCAAATTGACACAATTGAGATGCGGAGTAGACGGAAGATGTTGTTGTGTCATGGTGTAGCAGAGGAGAAGATTGAAGATACAGCTGCGGTGGTTATCAGGGTTGTTAATCAGATATCTGGTTTCAATGTTAAGGACATCTAACCACTTGGATGTATCGCCGGTCGACTTGGCAACGCTGCCGGGACTCCAGGACAGACCAGATTTCAATCGAGTCAAAGGCCTTCGCATAGTCCACAAATGCTAGGTACAGGGACAAGTGAAAGATGCGTTCGCCATATATGTTGATGCCACGTGCTTTCCAGTTCAGCGTCTGGAACATATCCTCCATTGCATCAATGAACAATTTCGGGGAAATAACGTACCCTTGTCTCACTCCACAATGCAACGGTATGGGACTGGTTTGCTGATTCTGTACTTGTACAGACATGGTGGCGTAGAGACATCGAATCACTTGGATGTATCGCTAGTCGACTTGGCAACGCTGCAGGGACTCCAGGACAGACCAGATTTCAACCGAGTCAAAGGCCTTCTCATAGTCCACAAATGCGAGGCACAGGGGCTGATTGTACTCTTCAGTCTTCTGTATAATCTACCGTATAGTGTAGATGTGGTCTATGGTGCCGTATCCGCTCCGAAACCCAGCCTGTTCCGGTGGTTGGAAGTCATCAAATCTTCGCGCAAGACGGTTCGCGATCACTCTTGAGAACAGCTTATAGATGTGGCTTAGAAGGGATATGGGTCGATAGTTCTTAAGTAGGGTCTTGTCCCCCTTTTTAAAGAACAAGACGACCACACTCCTACTCCACATCTCCGGTGTTCTCCCTTCGAGCAGGACAGTGTTAAAAAGCTTTTGTTGCTTGCTCCAGTACGGGTTTACCTCCAGCTTTCAAGAGTTCTGTTGTAACACCATCCTCTCTAGGGGCTTTTCCATTTTTAAGATGTCCAAGTGCAATCTCGATTTCGCCAATACTGTCTTCTGGCAGGTCTTCGGTGAAGTGGCGTGTAAATGTGGCTCCAGAATCCTCATTTCTGACATAGGGTCGAGATGTATGTGATGCATACAACTGGCTGTAGAAGTCTTCCACTTCCGAAAGGCTTTGAAGCACCAACTTCCCCACTTGCTGTGGTCAACTTCGTCAGGTGGCTTCTTCCAAGAGATTGTACGAACACTTTGGACCCTCGATTCTGCTCGATCGTTCTCTCGATCGAGAGAGTATTGGAGCACCGGAGGTTGTGTCGTACGTGCGTACTGATCTCTTGGTTTAGAGTCCGCTCTGCCGACGAAGTGACGGGTGGATTTTCATGTCGTTCCTCCATTAGCCCTAAAGTCTCTTCCGAAAGCTTTGACTTTCTGCCCTTACGCTGCGTTACACATAATCTCTTACCCTCTTCCCTGATGATCCGAACTACATTTTCGAAGTTTTGATTCACGTCTGATGTGGTTTTCACGGCAGCAAATCGGTTCTCCAGATTTGACTTAAATATTTCAGATCCTGTTATAGATTGGAGCAAAGTAGCTCGGAGCCTGGATTTCATCAAACGGACGCGGTCGGCCTTAAAGTTGATATTCAGAGAGCCCCTGACGAGTTGGTGATCACTACCGGTATTGAACCTGTTGATCACGGAGACGTCTCTGAATATGTACCTCTTGTCCGTCATGATGAAATCGATCTCATTTTTAGTCGTTGTATCGGGGCTTTGCCACGTCCATTTCCTTTGAGGCTGTTTCTTGAAGAAAGAGTTCATCAAGAAGAGCCCTTTCCGTTCGAGGAAGTTGACGAGCACTTGCCCCCTACGATTCTTGAATCCTATGAATGATCCATGGGATCCAACACTTACACCCCTTGCCATTATTAATATGAGTAATTACCAAATATTTACAACATTAATTTAATTAGAAATAAACCCGCTTATTCTACCCACAAGCAAAAACATTTGACATTTCGAAGTCCTCGCGTTACAAAAGCGCCTCTAGCGGCGGTATCATACGCGGGCTATTCATTCAGTAAATTATTACAATAAAATATTATTATCAAATCAACGTTACCGAATCTTTACTTTTAGATTGTCTTTTATGTCTAATTCTTATTTATACGTCTTCCCTATTTAGAAAAAAATAAAGAAAATTAGGGATTGTTGTATATTTTGTGTTTTAATACTTAGATAATTGCATATTTGATTCCCACACACTTATAATAGACTAGCTGTGCCCCGCGGCGTTACCCGTGATTTAATAGGGATATTTTCCCGCAGTAAAACGTGGCCTATGTGTTAATCCAGGGTGTCAGCTAACTCCATACCCAATTCTATTAAATTCGCTGCAGCCGTTTAGACGCGAAGAAGTAACAAGCCTGTGTAGGTTTCTCAGAAACACAGAAACTTTTGCCTTTATAATATAAGTGTGATGTACATTGCTTTAAGCCTTTGGCCCAATACCGAAATTGTGGGTTCTTAAACGAACTTTTTGCGATACAGGGGGACGGCGCTATATTCGACGCGAAATGGGGCGGCGCTTGTAGTGTCGCCGCGTCTGATTCCCACGGACATTTATTACTGTTTGGTATCGGACAGGGACATAAACTATTAAGGACGTTGCCTACAGAGCTGTTCTTTCATACAGACTACAGACCGTTGGGTGAGTGTATAGAACACTACACTTACATATTACACAACATTTACACTGTACTTGCTACACTACATTAACTACTGGTATACAATATTATTGTGGCCGCGATTGATTCACACGGACATTACTGTTTGGCGTCAGATAAGGATATAAAACTGTAACAGCAATGCCTAAAGGATTTGTTCTTAATACAGACAGACAGAAACAGATTGCTTTGCCAGTGTGTATTATTATATTATAATATAATTATATTAATTTTTACTACACTACACTTCACCACAGTACACTGCACCTGCTACATTTACAATTTTTTGTATATTGCACTAGCATTTTTTACTTCTCATCTGCTTGTCTAATACACATACGTGATTGTTACAAATTATTAACTTTACCACTTCTTATATTTTAATTATTATTTTTCATAATTTACTCTGTAATATAATTGCGCTGTAAAATACAATCTTATATCTCGATATGATAGATGAATTTCTTAATATTTTCGTATATTTGATTCAACTTATTTCATTGTTTTTGGAACCGAAGTTATTTTTTTTAATACATACGTATAGCCCGAGCAGGCAGGCGAACGATTTCGCCTGACTTGATGTTAAGTGGTGCTAGTCCAAACGCGAAGATAGCTGGTACAGCAGTTGTAAACTGTTACACCAACCATCCTCACCTTGCCGGTCTGCAGAAATGCTTCTTTGCGACTCTCTCAAAGGACCCCAGATTATAGGAAGGAGGGAACACGTGCGCGGACAAAGAATTTCATTTACTAATAGTGCGACAAAGAAACGAGTCGCCAAATTTATTTCTTCGTGTAGGCCACAGTGAGTCGACGGGAGTCTTAATAGGAGAATTAGACAAGAAAATAGTTAAACGTTTACATATTTCGGAAGTGGATGACGAGAACGAAGAGTTTGGGAACCTTTGGTTTAGGCAGAGAGATGGAAAATGACTCGGTACAGCAGTTATAAACCTTGCCATTCTGCAAGATGTTGTCGTTTGATTTACGTAACCCGTTTTCGTCGGGTGGGTACAGTCCGCGACGCGCTAGGCGGCGCGCTGGACGAGCAGACGCAGACCCCCCCGCACCTGCTGCCGCCCCCCTTCCTGGTGGACGTGCAGGGCGCGCCCCACCCCCCCGCCCTGCAGCGGCGCGTGCCGGGCCGGGCCCACCTGCTGCACCACCAGCTGGTGCCGGCGCTACCGGCGCTACCGGCGCCCGCCCCCCTCGACCGGCTCATACTGCAGCTGGCCGGCGAGGGGCAGGGGCAGGGGGAGGGGGGGCCGCACCCCACGCACAGGAGGACGGGTGAGTACCTTAGATCAAAACGAAAAAATTGTTTGTGTCAACTCCGACGCACGACTGGAGTTTACTCCTTAAGTTCGATAGTCTAACCGGACGCAAAAAGAGTTTATTTAACTTAAAAAAGATTGATACTGTATGAAAGGGTAAATTAACAAATCAATGAAAATAATATACATATATGAATATATATTTATTCATTTCATGTACATTTATTATAACTAATCGACGAAATATTTTACATTAAACTTTTTACAATAGTCAATTTCAGATGTGCATAAATATATCATTAGGAATGTTGATAAATTATGTAATTATTATTATCAGATTTTTTTTTAAATATTAATTAAATCAACATTGTCTGCATTATTAATTACAGTGACAAGTGGATTATGGTAACTAAAATAAGACACATGGACGTTAGTAGATACATGATTCACGAATCTTGAAAATACCGCATCAACGGTTGTACCATACCTCATTGTCCCCATTGCTCTATCAGAAACAATATCTAAATTCAGTTCAGATTTTAAAATTTTTATTAATGTCAATCCGTCGGCTTTGTTTGTCAAGTTGCGCGACATAGGACGCGCACCAAAAACGTAACGAGGTCATTCATCGATAGATTTTACTTCTCACATTTTTCTCATACCGGGCCCCTTATATATGCAAATCGATTCTTAAGGAGTAAACTCCAAAAAGGGTAGATACGGTACGCTCATACTTACATCGAACAAAAATTGATCCCACGACAGCGCGAACGAGACGGCGAGATCAGCGTCACGTGCTGCATTACCGACCCGAACGAAACACCACGTTAGGTTTCAACGGCAGCGCGAACGAGACGGCGAGATCAGCGTCACGTGCTGCATTACCGACCCGAACGAAACACCACGTTAGGTTTCAACGGCAGCGCGAACGAGACGGCGAGACCGATCACGCGACCGGTACTCCACGTCACTACCGAATAAGATTCAAAACGAACAGCAATTTTTATGAAAAAATATATTTTATAGTACTTCCGAATGAAAAGTGATGCCGTGGGTGCCCATAATTGAATACCAAATCCATATAAGTTTTAAGAGAGAATTGTATAGAGACCACTGTGAAAACTGAATTTCAACACATCAACCAATAAAAGTTTTTATACTTTATATTTATCTTGTCACGCTTCTGTTTGATCTATGTTTTCCAAATTAACTACTTGACGCAGTCGCTCTCAGGTAGCTCATTGTTGCCTAATTTTACTCCAGAACAATTTTCTCTCCTTAAAGTGAAGTAAATATGGTTCAATTTGTGTGTTCTGGCGCGAATACGCCACTTCAGCATCTAGGTGTTCGTCTTGTCCAGCAGCGACTATATATTAGAGATGGCTCTTATCATCTTATGGAGTCTTTATCGCATGATAGATAAGCAATGTCATCGGCATAAGTCACAACAGTTACATCAGGGCTGGTGGGGATATCGGATGTAAAGTTGTTATATAGAGTTGGACCTATAACCGATCCCTGTGGAGCTCCAGCTTCGATGTTATACAGCTTAGATCTAGCCTCACTCAGCTTAACTAGAAAACGTCTATCAGACAAATATGATGCGATGATTGAGAAAAACAAATAAGGAAGCTTATTCTTCACCATACTCAGTAAGTAGGCCCTTATGCCAAACACGATCAAAGGCCTGTTGTACATCCAGATAAACAGCTGAGGTGTATTATTTCTTTTCAAACCCTTGTCGTATTGTATGATAAACACGATGATCTTGCTCAACAGTTGAGTGCGATTTCCTAAATCCAAACTGATGTGAAGGGACCAAGTCACATTAATCCATTGCAGATTTTAGCCTTAGTAAAAAAGTATTTCCCATAATTTAGACAATATCGATGTAAGGCTTATAGGTCGGTATGACGATGCTTCGTTTGCTGGTTTGCCTGACTTGTGAATGAGTATGATTTGAGAATTTTTCCATAATGAAGGCATTGGGCAATTTCTAAACACAGCATTGAAGAGATATGTCAAGTACGGGTGGCCTTTCTGGGTAATTCCTTAAGAATTTTTTATGTGATTAGACGGGGTGTAAATGGAAAAATCCTATGGAAAATATCGAATATGTGTCACGCAAATATACAGGGTGGTCCAATTAGTGACGTCAAGAATTGTTTTTTAGATTCCTCGCACCTGGGGATATCCTAAAATACCCTTTGTATGATCCGCGATTTTTCGTAGTTTTCGAGTTATATTTTTTTTTTTGTGTATTTTTAATGATTTCTGCCAGCGAGGTTTCAAAAATTCATATCTTTTTTCGTAGTAGGTATTTTGCAGTCTTTTTTTTGTAAAAAAATTGTCTAGAATGTTGTTTTAATAAAAATAATAACTCAGCTTTCTGAAATTACTTAAAAGTTACTCAAAAAAGGCTTGACAGTTGAAACTTTAATTTTTAGTAGGATTATTATTTGATTTCTAAAAAAAATCCCATTGTTGTGACAGTTGGTATAAAAAACAGAAAAAAATCATCAATCTCGCTAGATAGCATTATCTACATGGAACTCGTGAATTGAGCTCACGCAAAATAAACGAGACTTAATGCTTTAATCATTTTATAATTTATAAATAACAAATATACTATTATCTAATACTAGCTAAAAACAATACTGGAACAATGAACCTAAAACTAAAAACCATAAAAACTAAAATATATTATTAAAAGGAGACCGTTAGGTAAGGTTCGGAAGATACGGAACGCTGCCAGCGTTCCGCCTTTGAATAGCTACACTATTTTTTTGTCCGAGGTAGCTGCCAGCTCTAGTCATTTTATATTTGAACTTTTTAAATATGTATATTATTGAAATAATATAAAAACTACGAGCTTTATACTAATTAAACGTTTAATTGTTTATAATTAAATTAAATATTGTTTTAAAAAATTCCAAAATAATTGTGTGATATGATATGTAGTAATGCCGTTAGAATCTAATGTGTACATAATAAGTTTCTGTAATTGGCCTTAAGATTGTATTTATATTTTATTGTATTACATCCGCAAAAATCGCTGTAGAAACTTTGTTAAATATAAATAAATAAAATGATGTCTAGAAATTAGATGTTTTTAGTTACCTGAATGTGTATTATTTAGGGGAGGGAGTGCGTCACACGTCAGGATCGTGGCAGCAGGGGGACCCGCTGCTGGTGCCGTACCACACCGTGGTGCCGCCGCTGCCGCCCGGCAGGTTGCGGCACATACAGAGGGCCGCGTGAGTTATGTATATATATATACACACGTCAGGGTCGAATTTTTCTAATTATTACGAGTAACTGAATGCGATCATTATAATAATTTATGTTATTAACGGGGTTGTTATCATGTACCTTATTTTTAGCAAGAATCCGATATTATTATTTATTTATTATTTTTAAATGCAATTGTCTCGTATATCGCAGTGAGGAAATGTACGAGCTGGAATCGTCGTGGTATCGTCGCGAGATGCGGCGCCGCCCGCTGATGATCAACACGGCGCCCTCTGCGCCCGCGGGCCCGCCCCGGCGACACGCGGGCCGGCCCCGGTCCCGGCCCCGGCCCCGGCCCAGGCCCCAGCCACAGGTGCCTATATGTATACTGTATGATGCGGCGCCGCCCGCTGATGATCGACACGGGCCCGCCCCGGCGACACGCGGGCCGGCCCCGGTCCCGGCCCCGGCCCCGGCCCAGGCCCCAGCCACAGGTGCCTATATGTATACTGTATGATGCGGCGCCGCCCGCTGATGATCGACACGGGCCCGCCCCGGCGACACGCGGGCCGGCCCCGGGCCCGGCCCCGGCCCCGGCCCCGACCCAGGCCCCAGCCACAGGTGCCTATATGTATACTGTATGATGCGGCGCCGCCCGCTGATGATCGACACGGGCCCGCCCCGGCGACACGCGGGCCGGCCCCGGGCCCGGCCCCGGCCCCGGCCCCGGCCCAGGCCCCAGCCACAGGTGCCTATATGTATACTGTATGATGCGGCGCCGCCCGCTGATGATCGACACGGGCCCGCCCCGGCGACACGCGGGCCGGCCCCGGGCCCGGCCCCGGCCCCGGCCCCGGCCCAGGCCCCAGCCACAGGTGCCTATATGTATACTGTATGATGCGGCGCCGCCCGCTGATGATCGACACGGGCCCGCCCCGGCGACACGCGGGCCGGCCCCGGGCCCGGCCCCGGCCCCGGCCCCGGCCCAGGCCCCAGCCACAGGTGCCTATATGTATACTGTATGATGCGGCGCCGCCCGCTGATGATCGACACGGGCCCGCCCCGGCGACACGCGGGCCGGCCCCGGGCCCGGCCCCGGCCCCGGCCCCGGCCCAGGCCCCAGCCACAGGTGCCTATATGTATACTGTATGATGCGGCGCCGCCCGCTGATGATCGACACGGGCCCGCCCCGGCGACACGCGGGCCGGCCCCGGGCCCGGCCCCGGCCCCGGCCCCGGCCCAGGCCCCAGCCACAGGTGCCTATATGTATACTGTATGATGCGGCGCCGCCCGCTGATGATCGACACGGGCCCGCCCCGGCGACACGCGGGCCGGCCCCCGGGCCCGGCCCCGGCCCCGGCCCCGGCCCAGGCCCCAGCCACAGGTGCCTATATGTATACTGTATGATGCGGCCGCCGCCCGCTGATGATCGACACGGGCCCGCCCCGGCGACACGCGGGCCGGCCCCGGGCCCGGCCCCGGCCCCGGCCCCGGCCCAGGCCCCAGCCACAGGTGCCTATATGTATACTGTATGATGCGGCGCCGCCCGCTGATGATCGACACGGGCCCGCCCCGGCGACACGCGGGCCGGCCCCGGGCCCGGCCCCGGCCCCGGCCCCGGCCCAGGCCCCAGCCACAGGTGCCTATATGTATACTGTATGATGCGGCGCCGCCCGCTGATGATCGACACGGGCCCGCCCCGGCGACACGCGGGCCGGCCCCGGGCCCGGCCCCGGCCCCGGCCCCGGCCCAGGCCCCAGCCACAGGTGCCTATATGTATACTGTATGATGCGGCGCCGCCCGCTGATGATCGACACGGGCCCGCCCCGGCGACACGCGGGCCGGCCCCGGGCCCGGCCCCGGCCCCGGCCCCGGCCCAGGCCCCAGCCACAGGTGCCTATATGTATACTGTATGATGCGGCGCCGCCCGCTGATGATCGACACGGGCCCGCCCCGGCGACACGCGGGCCGGCCCCGGGCCCGGCCCCGGCCCCGGCCCCGGCCCAGGCCCCAGCCACAGGTGCCTATATGTATACTGTATGATGCGGCGCCGCCCGCTGATGATCGACACGGGCCCGCCCCGGCGACACGCGGGCCGGCCCCGGGCCCGGCCCCGGCCCCGGCCCCGGCCCAGGCCCCAGCCACAGGTGCCTATATGTATACTGTATGATGCGGCGCCGCCCGCTGATGATCGACACGGGCCCGCCCCGGCGACACGCGGGCCGGCCCCGGGCCCGGCCCCGGCCCCGGCCCAGGCCCCAGCCACAGGTGCCTATATGTATACTGTATGATGCGGCGCCGCCCGCTGATGATCGACACGGGCCCGCCCCGGCGACACGCGGGCCGGCCCCGGGCCCGGCCCCGGCCCCGGCCCCGGCCCAGGCCCCAGCCACAGGTGCCTATATGTATACTGTATGATGCGGCGCCGCCCGCTGATGATCGACACGGGCCCGCCCCGGCGACACGCGGGCCGGCCCCGGGCCCGGCCCCGGCCCCGGCCCAGGCCCCAGCCACAGGTGCCTATATGTATACTGTATGATGCGGCGCCGCCCGCTGATGATCGACACGGGCCCGCCCCGGCGACACGCGGGCCGGCCCCGGCCCCGGCCCCGGCCCCGGCCCAGGCCCCAGCCACAGGTGCCTATATGTATACTGTATGATGCGGCGCCGCCCGCTGATGATCGACACGGGCCCGCCCCGGCGACACGCGGGCCGGCCCCGGGCCCGGCCCCGGCCCCGGCCCCGGCCCAGGCCCCAGCCACAGGTGCCTATATGTATACTGTATGATGCGGCGCCGCCCGCTGATGATCGACACGGGCCCGCCCCGGCGACACGCGGGCCGGCCCCGGGCCCGGCCCCGGCCCCGGCCCCGGCCCAGGCCCCAGCCACAGGTGCCTATATGTATACTGTATGATGCGGCGCCGCCCGCTGATGATCGACACGGGCCCGCCCCGGCGACACGCGGGCCGGCCCCGGGCCCGGCCCCGGCCCCGGCCCCGGCCCAGGCCCCAGCCACAGGTGCCTATATGTATACTGTATGATGCGGCGCCGCCCGCTGATGATCGACACGGGCCCGCCCCGGCGACACGCGGGCCGGCCCCGGGCCCGGCCCCGGCCCCGGCCCAGGCCCCAGCCACAGGTGCCTATATGTATACTGTATGATGCGGCGCCGCCCGCTGATGATCGACACGGGCCCGCCCCGGCGACACGCGGGCCGGCCCCGGGCCCGGCCCCGGCCCCGGCCCCGGCCCAGGCCCCAGCCACAGGTGCCTATATGTATACTGTATGATGCGGCGCCGCCCGCTGATGATCGACACGGGCCCGCCCCGGCGACACGCGGGCCGGCCCCGGCCCCGGCCCCGGCCCCGGCCCAGGCCCCAGCCACAGGTGCCTATATGTATACTGTATGATGCGGCGCCGCCCGCTGATGATCGACACGGGCCCGCCCCGGCGACACGCGGGCCGGCCCCGGGCCCGGCCCCGGCCCCGGCCCAGGCCCCAGCCACAGGTGCCTATATGTATACTGTATGATGCGGCGCCGCCCGCTGATGATCGACACGGGCCCGCCCCGGCGACACGCGGGCCGGCCCCGGGCCCGGCCCCGGCCCCGGCCCAGGCCCCAGCCACAGGTGCCTATATGTATACTGTATGATGCGGCGCCGCCCGCTGATGATCGACACGGGCCCGCCCCGGCGACACGCGGGCCGGCCCCGGGCCCGGCCCCGGCCCCGGCCCAGGCCCCAGCCACAGGTGCCTATATGTATACTGTATGATGCGGCGCCGCCTGCTGATGATCGACACGGGCCCGCCCCGGCGACACGCGGGCCGGCCCCGGGCCCGGCCCCGGCCCCGGCCCAGGCCCCAGCCACAGGTGCCTATATGTATACTGTATGATGCGGCGCCGCCCGCTGATGATCGACACGGGCCCGCCCCGGCGACACGCGGGCCGGCCCCGGGCCCGGCCCCGGCCCCGGCCCAGGCCCCAGCCACAGGTGCCTATATGTATACTGTATGATGCGGCGCCGCCCGCTGATGATCGACACGGGCCCGCCCCGGCGACACGCGGGCCGGCCCCGGGCCCGGCCCCGGCCCCGGCCCAGGCCCCAGCCACAGGTGCCTATATGTATACTGTATGATGCGGCGCCGCCCGCTGATGATCGACACGGGCCCGCCCCGGCGACACGCGGGCCGGCCCCGGGCCCGGCCCCGGCCCCGGCCCAGGCCCCAGCCACAGGTGCCTATATGTATACTGTATGATGCGGCGCCGCCCGCTGATGATCGACACGGGCCCGCCCCGGCGACACGCGGGCCGGCCCCGGGCCCGGCCCCGGCCCCGGCCCAGGCCCCAGCCACAGGTGCCTATATGTATACTGTATGATGCGGCGCCGCCCGCTGATGATCGACACGGGCCCGCCCCGGCGACACGCGGGCCGGCCCCGGGCCCGGCCCCGGCCCCGGCCCAGGCCCCAGCCACAGGTGCCTATATGTATACTGTATGATGCGGCGCCGCCCGCTGATGATCGACACGGGCCCGCCCCGGCGACACGCGGGCCGGCCCCGGGCCCGGCCCCGGCCCCGGCCCAGGCCCCAGCCACAGGTGCCTATATGTATACTGTATGATGCGGCGCCGCCCGCTGATGATCGACACGGGCCCGCCCCGGCGACACGCGGGCCGGCCCCGGGCCCGGCCCCGGCCCCAGCCACAGGTGCCTATATGTATACTGTATGATGCGGCGCCGCCCGCTGATGATCGACACGGGCCCGCCCCGGCGACACGCGGGCCGGCCCCGGGCCCGGCCCCGGCCCCGGCCCAGGCCCCAGCCACAGGTGCCTATATGTATACTGTATGATGCGGCGCCGCCCGCTGATGATCGACACGGGCCCGCCCCGGCGACACGCGGGCCGGCCCCGGGCCCGGCCCCGGCCCCAGCCACAGGTGCCTATATGTATACTGTATGATGCGGCGCCGCCCGCTGATGATCGACACGGGCCCGCCCCGGCGACACGCGGGCCGGCCCCGGGCCCGGCCCCGGCCCCGGCCCCGGCCCAGGCCCCAGCCACAGGTGCCTATATGTATACTGTATGATGCGGCGCCGCCCGCTGATGATCGACACGGGCCCGCCCCGGCGACACGCGGGCCGGCCCCGGGCCCGGCCCCGGCCCCGGCCCAGGCCCCAGCCACAGGTGCCTATATGTATACTGTATGATGCGGCGCCGCCCGCTGATGATCGACACGGGCCCGCCCCGGCGACACGCGGGCCGGCCCCGGGCCCGGCCCCGGCCCCGGCCCAGGCCCCAGCCACAGGTGCCTATATGTATACTGTATGATGCGGCGCCGCCCGCTGATGATCGACACGGGCCCGCCCCGGCGACACGCGGGCCGGCCCCGGGCCCGGCCCCGGCCCCGGCCCAGGCCCCAGCCACAGGTGCCTATATGTATACTGTATGATGCGGCGCCGCCCGCTGATGATCGACACGGGCCCGCCCCGGCGACACGCGGGCCGGCCCCGGGCCCGGCCCCGGCCCCGGCCCAGGCCCCAGCCACAGGTGCCTATATGTATACTGTATGATGCGGCGCCGCCCGCTGATGATCGACACGGGCCCGCCCCGGCGACACGCGGGCCGGCCCCGGGCCCGGCCCCGGCCCCGGCCCCGGCCCAGGCCCCAGCCACAGGTGCCTATATGTATACTGTATGATGCGGCGCCGCCCGCTGATGATCGACACGGGCCCGCCCCGGCGACACGCGGGCCGGCCCCGGGCCCGGCCCCGGCCCCGGCCCCGGCCCAGGCCCCAGCCACAGGTGCCTATATGTATACTGTATGATGCGGCGCCGTCCGCTGATGATCAACACGGCGCCCTCCTGTCGGTTCTAGTTAAACTCCAAAATATTATACAGGGTATAAAAAACCGATAACGAAGTCGAAGATCACGTATTTTCCACATTATAGCGATCATTTTTTTTCTTCTGGACCATACCTGGGCATTTATGGTTATGGAGATATTGAAGGTCAAAGCCAAAATATTTTTTTCAAGACATATATTATTATTTTCAAAACTTTATTTAGAAACTTTTTTATCGACGCACTTACACACACGCACACACATACACACGGGCACATTCTTTGCGTAGCGCCACAGTAGCGTGTCGCGCTATACATTGTGTACTGGAAAAAGAAAATTAACTTAAAAATACATTTTTTTCCGACGTACAATATTTTGTAATATGACTTGTTTGGGTGTACAGAATGCGTAGTTTAAGTCTTTGCATAGGATTTTTTACACCCTGTATAAATAATAATTCTGACGACGTAACCTGAAAAATATGCGAATCGTCATATCTATATATATAAAAATGAAACCCGTTTTCCGTTGTCACGACATAACATGAAAACGGCTTGACCGATTTGACTCATTTTTTTTTGTAGTTTTCTAATACTTTGTGCAAGGTTCTTACGGAAAAATATATAAAGAAAATCTCTCAGAAACATTGAAAAATATAACGTAACGAATGTCAACATCATTCAATTTAAAACAAAAAATCTGTGGTAATCTGTGACACCACATCGATAACCGCGCATACAAATGTCAACGTCATTCAATTTAAAACAGAAAAATCTGTGGTAATCTGTGACAACACATCCATAACCGCGCTAACAATGAATAGGTACTCATACATAATATAGGTCAGCTATACAAAATAAAGTAGTGCATCAAAGCTACGCTAAGGCGGTACGAAGTTCGCCGGGTCAGCTAGTAATAAATAAATGAGTGCAGCTATATCGTTGTAACTTGTTTTATTATAAGTAATATTGTGTATTGCGGTATTCGGTTAGGTCCGTCCGGAACCGGAACCGGAGCCGGAAGCTCACGAGGCGTCGGGCTCGCCGGACGCGTGGGGCTCCGGGTCGGGCTGGTCGCGGTCGCGGTCGCGGTCGCGGTCGCGGTCGCGGTCGGACTCGTCGGACCCATCGGTGCGACTCACGGGATCCCCGCGATCCACCAACTCCAGGACTACGCCCTCGCTCAGCGATGGATCCTCGTAAGTACACTAACCGTACAGGGGCCCAATTCTCGCGGCGTAGATATTATATCGGCTTCGAGATAATATCGAAAGTAGGGATATCTATTGAAAATATCTACTGATGGTAAAAAATGCTATTCTCGTGGATTTTCGATATTCCAATGATATTATATCTATCGTAGATATTCTTTCACTGCCGAATGCGTTCCGTTTTTCTCGATTAAGTTAACATCATAGTCTATATAAATAAATAATAAATTAGAGCAGAATTTTACAAGCAACAAAATGATATTTTATGAATTCCATTCATATTAAATGTGTGTATACATTTTTTGAGTATACGAAATCTCAACTTTACCTAAATTGTATGCGTATATAATTGCAACGTTATGTATAATGAAACGTCAATATTATTTAAAATTCTCCCTTTTCAGGGAAGGCAAAGGGAACAATGCCCATAAAGCCTAGTCTTTAGTTATATTAATCTTCTTTTTATTACATTCGAATGTCGGTGTGACGCATTCTAATGTTTCTTGGAGTGTTTGGCACGAAATTTATGGAGTCAGCTTTTTCTCTAAGCTTCTGTGAGGTAGTCAACACTACAATAAAGTTCTCGCGTCCACTTGACCGGAATAGCGTATATTTTAAAGATTCCACTAATTCTTTAGTTGCGCAGACGGTTGTAACACCAAATCACACCAATTTTATTTTACAATATCCACTATGAACGAATTTTAGAATAATTAAAATAAGATGCCAACCGCACTCGCAGAAATCCCGCCAAAACTCCGTATCGTCAATAAGAAAATGGTGTCGATTCTGGCATGATTCTCTAAACCTAAACGTAAATTTGACAACAGTGTATCCTTGTCATTCTCCATACAGAATGAAAAGGAGAGACTGATGTTAAATTTAGTTTTAAGTTTAGAGAATCGTGTCAGAATCGATACCAATGTCATTCATAACTTTAAAGATTTCTAACGAAATTTTTGTTTAAACGTAATTTTTTTATGAAGTCCGCGTCCCTCATTTCAAATGGGCCCTCTTGCTAGCACAACGGCGGCGCCTTAGCACAGCAGCAGCAATCACGTCATTTATTAAATCATTGACGAAAACATGAATCAACTCATCCATCGTTAATATAAACTGGTGTCGATTCTGGCACGATTCTCTAAATCTAAACTTAAACTTGACAACAGTGTTTCCTTGTCATTCTCTATATAGAATGAAAAAGAGAGACTGATAATAAATTTAGTTTTAAGTTTAGAGAATCACGCCAGAATCAACACCATTGTTTACCTACTTCTTTATTTACTAATTATTTATGAAGGCAGTTAACAACATCTTGAAGTAACAATAACTGGCAAAGACACACGACAACACAATAAATAATAGGTAAAAAAAGTGGAAATAACAAGATTGACATGCCAAGATCCATAGATATTTATATATCGAAGGCTCTTTACCAGTCGATGTATGTCTACTGATCATCCGTAGATAAATATCTATTGCGACATGGTGAGAATAGGGCAAAAAGGTTTTCCTTCGATAAAAGCCAGATCATTCGATATATATCGAAGGTGATATAATATCTATGCCGCGAGAATTGGGCCCCAGGTTTAACAATACAGTAGGGGAGATATGGACTCTACTACAAGTGGAATTGTCCCTCTAAAGCCGCCATTCGCCATTTATGTTGATGCCACGTCCTTTCCAGTTCAGCGTCTTGAACATATCCTCCATTGCATCAGTGAATAATTTGGGGGAAATAACGTACCCTTGTCTCACTCCACGATGCAACGGTATGGGACTGGTTTGTTGACTCTGTACAAACATGGAGGCGTAGAGACATCTAATCACTTGGATGTATCGCCAGTCGACTTGGCAACGCTGCAGGGACTCCAGGACAGACCAGATTTCAATGTAGTCAAAGGCCTTCCCATAGTCCACAAATGCTAGGCACAGGGGCTGATTGTATTCTTCAGTCTTCTGTATAATCTGCCGCACTATGTGGATGTGGTCTATGGTGCCGTATCCGCTCCGAAACCCAACCTAATTTTAGTCAAATTTAAATAATAAGAAAATACTATATAATAATAGTACTAAATAGAGCATGCGCTCCTTCTTGCTAGCGAGCCCGCGGGGTGCTGAGTGTGGGAAGCGGGGCGAGATTTACTCCTGATGATGACATTATTAGAGACGAAGATGTAGCGGACAAATTAGAATTTCTTGGACTGATGATAACATATTAAAGTCGGGGTAAAATCTGTTTTCCTAATAGGTTACAGGGGTAGCAGTATCGGAAAGGTTAGGAAACACTGCTCTAAAAAAAGAGAAAGAACATGAGAGACGGCTAGCTTTCTCTCTCTAATCGCGCATGCGCATTAACAACCGTAAGCATCTTACTATTTCGATGTAATGACATTGGATGCCATACGTCACAAGAGAAAGAGATAGCTAGCGGTCTCTCATCTTCTTTCTCTTTCTACTAGACGGACATTATTGATCAATTTACTAGGAAATTGATCAACTTACAGAATTTATTAATGCTTCACTTCAAACGTGTGGTCATCAGCACATTCGTTTTTTACCCGGCTGCGCAATGCAAGAGCGCGAAGCGCGACGCGCAGACAGGGTTATGTGTTTAACAGTCTATTTATGTATGTTTGTTCCTTTGTGGCACACTAGAGACCAAACGCCTGGACCGATTTTGATGATTCATACATCAATCGATTCGTCTCAATCATGGGAGTGCTACTAAAGATATGATAGTAAGCAAAATTCAGTAAGCAAAATTAGGCGCCATATTGTGACGAAGTAAAAAAAAATAAGTTGACAAAATATGTCGAGTGGGGTATCACTGTCTAGATAATCGAATATCATATTTAGGTTCCTAACACCATTTTTCATTTAATATGATTGTTTAGGATCTACAACGCTTTAAAGTTGTATATTAACCACTTACGCTTTTAATTTCAATCTTACGTTTGTATGGATTTTTGTTACTCTTTCACCAAAAAAATACTGAATGGATTTCTTTATATGAATGTGTTCTTTATATTATATACTAGCTGACCCAGCGAACTTCGTACCGCCATAAAAAAACATTGTCCAGCGGACAAAATTGTGAATCTAAACCATTCTCAGATCCCCTTGAACACACACAAAAAATTTCATCAAAATCGGTCCAGTCGTTTAAGAGAAGTTCAGTGACATACACACTCACAGAAGAATTATATATATAAAGATTTAATAATATTACGTATTCTTGAATATCTAATGGGTCCCGACTGTTAAAGGAGTTTGGTTTCTTATTAACAGAATTATAGACTACTGGACTTGTTTTTTTCTTTTCAGTTTTTAATTGAAGTATAATTAAGCAGTCGGGTTTTTTGATTTTTAAATTTACCTTTCTTTTTTATTATTTTATTTAGCCAAACGTCTGGTGCTTTCTGTTTAAACTACATCCACCGGTTTGTTGTCAGATCTTCGTCCTCTCAGTACTCGGACTGGGAGGCAGGCCCTCCCACCAGGACTCGGCGGAGACCGCTGCCTACGCGACGGTGAGTACCATCAATATTTATCTTTTTTTCCCATCTTGGGAAAGGCAAAGGCAGAGCCATGCAGCCAAAGTCTTCTTTTAATTCTTAATAGGCAAGGCGTTTGACGTTTTTGAGGAGATCGATGGCGCGGATGCTTAGAGCGTTCGGCTGCGATTGTAAAAGTTGAGCAACTTTCGCAGTGGTCGGTCATTGGATGGGTGACCAAAAATTTACTATCTGGAGCTCCTCCTCCTATCTGTTTTAACGGGTTTAACTGTATATGTATCAGTGTACCAGTATATGTATTCTATCCGTTACCTTAGTATCCCATAACATAAGCCTTAATTGCTGTGAGCGTTGGAAATATTTATTTACTATTTATTCCAAAAAAAATTAAATCGTATATTTGTTTATAGCTATAGCCCCAGTACGGCTGCCACGAAACGCAACGACCGCCCTCCCGCTGCCTCGGAAGGGGCCTCCACCTCGGGCCTGGGGTCGGACCCGGGGCCGTCGGGGCCGGGGCCGGGGCCCGGGGGCTCGGGGCCGGGGGAGGGGGAGGGGGAGGGCCCGGGGCTGGACGTCCCGGAGCTGTACCGGGTGGGTGAGTGGCTGACGGCGGTGAGTCCGCGGAAGGCCCCATATCACCCGCAGATCGGGGATCACTGCCTGTACTTCAGATTGGTGAGTCATATCATAATCATCATCAGCCTATTAATGTCCCCACTGCTGGCGCACAGGCCTTCCCTATGAATGGAATAACCACGCAGGCCCAGTGCGGATTGGTGAGTGCTAACGACTGCAGATGCAGCCGGGACCGACGGCTTAACGTGCCTTCCGAAGCACGGAGGAGCGAGAGATAGTAAATTTTCGGTCACCCATCCAATGACCGACCACTGCGAAAGTTGCTTAAATTCAACGATCGCAGCGGAACGCGCTAACCACTTGCGCCATCGAGCTCCTCATATTATAATAATAATAATATATTCTTTATTGTATAACACCACAAAGGACATAACAGTAAGATTACACTGACAGAGAGACATTACACAATGGGCGGCCTTATTGCTTAATAGCAATCTCTTCCAGGCAACCCATGACGGAAAATTAAATAAGTATACAGGACAGGATGTCCCACAGCTACCTCACACGGAGGGAAAGTATATTAAATATTGAAGATAGGATATTTTACTGAAGGAAGACATCATTTTATTTTTAGTAATAATAAGAACTGCATTCTCAGTTTTTTTTTAAATCGCCTGCTGCAACTGGGAATCAAACTCATGAAATTTCGAAAAACAAAACACGACTTATTTTATGATAACCAAAAGGGTTAATCATAAGGATAATCTTCTGCTAAATAACATATCATTTTAAATGAAAGAAAAGTAATTAAATTTCACATTTTATATAAAATTAATAAACACAAAGTAATATAAACACGAAACGGTGCAAAAAAAAAATTATTTAATTTATCAAATGTTCAATACGTAATCCATTTTGTAATATGCAAATTCTTACTCTTTTAATAATTTCTCTGCCTGTCGATATCATTATCTTTGCGTGGTGAATGTTTGTAATAATACGTCTAAGTTCATTTTGTAACTCCTGCACACTGTCGCACCGGTTCTTGTATACTACATCTTTTAAATAACCCCATAAAAAAAAGTCCTGTGGGGTTGGAGCTCGGGATAAAATACTACTACGGATAAGCAAAAAATAACCCTTTCGATAATTATCATAAACTATGTCGTTTTTTCGAAATTTCACGAGTTTGATTCCCAGTTGTAGCACGCGATTTAAAAAAATCTGTGAATGCAGTTCTAGTTATTATTAAAAATAAAATGAAGTCTTCTGTCAGTAAAATATCCCATCTTCAATATTTAATATACTTTCCTTCCGTGTGAGGTAGCCATGGGACGCCCTGTATAAGAACAAAAAAAGGGGGAAGGGTGTAAGAGCAATATTATAAAATAAAATAAAAACGGTAATAATAATACAGATGCATATTTATATGAAAAAGAAAAAAATAAACAAATAAATAAAGGAAAAAGGTATTTTCAAAGTAAAGATAGGAAATGAAGCTTAACTTGCTCACGGAACGAGTCCAGAGTGCCAGCCCTTCGAATGGATTCCGGTAATGAATTCCACAAGCGAACAGAATGCACAGAGTAGGAGTAAGAAAGGAAATCAGTCGAATGGCAAGGTATTTCGAGATTGAGATTAGAAGAGGATGATCGAGAAGAGAAGCATTGCTTTAGATAAGGTGGAGAAGTAGGTAGGCTACAATTCCAACGCGTACAAAGAAATTTGGTGACTCATTTCTTTGTCGCACTTTCCGTAAATGGAATGCTCTGCCCGCTCACGTGTTCCCTCCCTCTTACAACCTGGGATCCTTTAAAGAGGCGTGAAGATGCAACATGCAGGCCGGCAGGGTGAGGATGGCTGGTGTGGTAGAACTGCTGTATCAGCTATCTTCGCGTCGGGACTTCACCTTCACTTAACATCAGGTGGGGTGGAGTCGTTTGTTGGACCTATCTATAAAAAAAAAAGTACAGAATAAAGAAGCGTAAGAGTATGTAAGTCCTATAATAGGCCTATGTAAGGCCTAAGTACGCCTCTTTTAAACGATCCCAGGTTGTAAGAGGGAGGGAACACGTGAGCGGGCAGAGCATTCCATTTACGGATAGTGCGACAAACAAATGAGTCACCAAATTTCTTTGTACGCGTTGGAATTGTGGCCACAGTTAGACGGTGACAACGTCTAACCACAGTTAGCCACCACAACCACAGTTAACATGCAGGTTTACAGAGCAGGCCACAGCCTGCTCTGTAAACCTGCATGTGAAACTGAATAAATAAATAAATTACGATGCGCAGTCTGTTATACTTATTTTATTATTATTTATTTTTTTTGGTTACATGGAAGACCAACAGCTTATCTTAATACACTAGAAATGAACTAGCAAACCAGTGAACCAAATGTTCACCAAAATTAATTAATTGAGAACTTCGGAGATTTTGTGTGGTTTCGTTTGAAATTCGTGATTTCCCGAAAACCGGAAGTGCTACGTTACTCAAATCCGGTTTGTAGTCTTATCAGACTATTCTTAACTTATAACTTAAACATTCTCTTTATCTATCTCTTACGGTTTGGCCGCTGAAACAGCACCACGGACGGACGGACGGACGGACTTGTCTAATAGATAAGAGATTTTTATCTCCAAAAAACAAACGAGCAATGATACGTCTACTTGACGCTTCGCTAGTGTCAAAAAGATCTAAATTTACCTGCTTTGATAGTGAGTTGAAGCTGCTACTCGCTCGACAAAGAAAAGCGTTCTGCCGATAATTTGTAGAAGTAAATTAAAATAGGATTAATCCTAAGGGGTTTGGGGGGAACTCTAAACAAGATCTTTGGTAGGAGTTCCGGGCAGTCAACAGCCCCAGAAGCGATCCTACCGAGGAAAACTAAATCCGCAATTTGGCGACGCATCTCTAAAGGGAGAAGATGATGCTTTTTGCAGAGTTCCCCGTACCGACCTGAATGATAAAGTTCCTTTGTACGAAAGCACAGATATCGTACAAATTTCCTCTGGATGCCTTCAATGCGAGATATATAGGTAGAACTAGCTGACCCAGCGAACTTCGTACCGATATAAAAAAATAGGGGTTGGTGGTAGAAAGTTGAAAATTTAGGGTTGTATGTATTTTTGTATGACGTATCATAAATAATTAAAAACAATTTTTTTATCTAAAATTAAAAAAAATAAAAATAGGGGTAGATTACTCTTAACATTTAGGGGGATGAAAAATAGATTACATCCGATTCTCAGACCTAGTGAATATGCATATAAAATTTCACGAAAATCGGTCGAGCCGTTTCGGAGGAGTTTAACCACAAACACCGCGACACGAGAATTTTATATATTAAATATCTAGGGTTCCAGACCTGAGATGCATACTCCAGATGACTTCTAACAAAGGTACAATATAAAATTTTTAGTGTCTTGGCTTATCTAAAGTCTTTGGAGTTGCGCATAATAAACCCGAGGGCCTTAGAGCTTTTATATTTTTTGCCTGGCCACGATAGACTTAACCAAGAGTAGAGATCACTATGGAAGAGGGGATAAAGATGATGCGTGCAGCAGTTGGTGATTACGAAGCGCAGTCTGTTATACTTATTTATTAAATAAAACTAGTTTTAACGGGTTTATGCACGAAACTTTATTTATTTATTGACGTTTCGCAGCCTTTTCAGGTCTGCATCGTCAGAATACTGTTTTTTTTTTTAATTTTAGAAGTTTTAATAAATGAGTAAATATTTTTTGGAAGACAAAAGTTTTTAGACCAAGTATAGAAAACATGACATGCATGAAATAATTACAGTCTTAAATTTTTCGTTTATTGACATTTTGAATAAACTATTTTAGTTTATTCATTTCACACTGAAGTAATAAATGTTTCATTTAATGAGTGATGTGCGTGAAAACCTAAGAAACAAATATACTTATTTATATTTTTTGCCTTACTACGATCGACTTAACTAAGAGTAGCTATCGACTGGTTGGCCACCCATGCTGTAAACCTAAACTTTTATCTGTGTCAACACTTCAACAGTGCATCCTTGTCATTGTCTATACGGAATGATCGTTACAGGGTCACCAACGATACTTCGAGGCTGTCTCCGAGAAGGATCTGTACAAGGTGAACCCGCGCGACAAGCCCTGGGAGAAGGCGCATATATATGTGAGTATGACGACATAAATTCTTTACGTTCATCTTTAGCATGTCGCATTACATTATTAATTGTTATTGAAAATTTTTTTCAATAAGCATCGGTGACTTAGTGGTAGAGAGCTTGTCAGCTACGCGGAAGTCCCGGGTTCGATTCCCAGTCGAGGAGAGACTTTTTTTAATTGTCCACTTTTTAAAGCCAGTTTCTTTGAAAGTTTCACTTGCATCGTGGTTTTACTAAAGCACACCATATTTTGTGATTGCTAGTAAATAAATTATATTACTGTCCAATTTGAGGAGATCGATGGCGTGTTTGGTTAGCGCATTCGGCTGCAATCGTTGAAAGTTGCTTAACAACTTTTGCAGTGGTCGGTCATTGGATGGGTGACCAAAATTTACTATCTCCAGCTCCTCCGTGCTTCGGAAGGCATGTTAAGCTGTTAGTTCCGGCTGCATCTGCAGTCTTTCGCACCCGCCAATCGGCACTGGGCCCGCGTGGTGGGTCACGGCACAATCTCCCTATTCCATATGCGTAAGGAAGGCCTGTGCCCCAACAGTGGGGACATTAGAAGGCCGATGATGATGATCATGTGGACATGTAAACGTAATGTTGATTCTGGCGAGATTCTTAAATATTGACAATGGTATATCCTGGACACTCCCTATACATAATGAAAATTGGAGACTTAGTTTTAAGTTTAAAGGATTATGCCGGAGTACACACAAATGTTACAGGTTGCAGATAAAATGAATATGTAGTAAAAATCTTTATTGTTATACATTCCTAATATATATTCCTAATAATGTACCTATATATTTCTATTGATTTTTTTATTTAAATCTATTAATTGATAATTTCAACGGAAACTTAGACCAGATACTTCAATCATTAACATCTTTTAAAAATGTAATAATTACGGGTGATATTAACATAAACATTATACCCGACATACATGATGCTGGAACCCAAGATTATCTCAATCTATGTTCGTACCATGGTTTTTACCCAGCCCATACATTACCAACACATCAGAGTGGTTCTTGTCTCGACCATATGATGATAAAATCTAGGTCAACATATCTAACACTTGTCACAAAAACGCCGCTTACCGATCATTCCGCTGTC